CAACGGCTCTGCTGATAAAGCAGTGGAGGACAGTGAGAAGACGTTCACTGAGCTGATCCGTCTCATGGAGAAGAGAAGCTCTGATGTGAAGCAGCAGGTCAGATCCCAGCAGAAGAGAGAAGTGAGTCGAGTCAGAGAGCTCCAGGAGAAGCTGGAGCAGGAGATCTCTGAGCTGAAGAGGAGAGACGCTGAGCTGAAGCTGCTGTCTCACACAGAGGATCACAACCAGTTTCTGCTCAGCTACCCCTCACTGCCAGCCCTCAGTGAAGCTACACACTCCTCCAGCATCAACATCCGTCCTCTGAGCTACTTTGAGGACGTGACGGCGGCCCTGTCAGCAGTCAGAGACAAACTACAGGACGTCCTGAGAGAGGAATGGACAAACGTCTCACCGACTGAAGTGGATGTTTTACTGTCAGCAGCAGAGCCCACCACCAGAGCTGGGTTCTTAACATATTCACAGGAGATCACTCTGGATCCAAACACAGCACACAAGAAGCTGTTATTATCTGAGGGGGGCAGAAAAGCAACATTCATGGGACAACAGTCTTATTCTAGTCACCCAGACAGATTCACTGAATGGTCTCAGGTCCTGAGTAGAGAGAGTCTGAGTGGACGTTGTTACTGGGAGGTGGAGTGGAGAGGGGGAGCAGTTCATGTAGCAGTCGCATACAAGAATATCAGCAGAGCAGGGGGGCAGTATGAATGTGGATTTGGATACAATGAAAAATCTTGGTCCTTAGATTGTTTCAAAAACAGTTATTCATTTTGTTACAACGGTATCGACACTCCCGTCTCAGGTCCTTCGTCCTCCAGAGTAGGAGTGTACCTGGATCACAGAGCAGGTATTCTGTCCTTCTACAGCGTCTCTGAAACCATGACTCTCCTCCACAGAGTGCAGACCACGTTCACTCAGCCGCTACATGCTGGAGTTCGGCTTCATTATAAATATAGAAACACTGCTGAGTTCTGTAAACTCAAATAGCCTGAAGTCGTTGGAGGAACTCTTCTACTTCTTAAACTCACCGTGTGTCCATCAGAGCTGATTGTCCATGTCTTCACTGCAGAGATCAGCTGTCAATCAAACATGATGGGCGGGGCTTCAACATCTTCTCACGAGTTGTTCTGTAGATGTTGGACTTTCTTCCGGCTCCTTCCTGTGTCTGTGTAGCCATGGAGGCTGTCACTGCTCAGGAGGATCCTTGTTCACCTGAACTGATGTGTAAACTCTGCTCTAAATATGTGTTGGATATTTCTTTTGATTCATGTTGTTGTTTCTCTTGTAGTGTACGAGTCTTCAGAGAGAAAGCAGCACAGCTTCTTTTATTCTACACATTTTATTCTGGCCACTTTCTAAAACAATATTTATAATCACATGTATTATTTTGACAGATTAAATGTTATTGTTGCCCAAATTAACTAAATCATGAGTTCCCAGATGGTTATAACACTTATTTCCTCATTAAATGTTTATTTAAAATGATATTACTTACTGTCATGATCATAATCAATAAGGACATTATTCATTATTCTCCTGTAAATAGCTTAGAGTCTTTGCTCGGGAAATACATTGTTATTGTTTTGCAGACTAATTGTTGTTGTTGTTGTTGCTGTCGAAATAGAAAGTGGGTACTCTGATGTTTTATAGAACATAACTTATCATGATAATAATCAATAAGGAAATCATGTCTGATTCTGTTTGAAACAGCTGAGATGAAACACATTCATGGTGGATAAAGAGAAACTGATCATGAAATCATTGAACAGACTTTTCTGATGGGATGTGTGATCAAATTAAATGTTTGGATCATTAATAAAGGTTTGTCTTTCAAAAACAAAAACAGGATGAACTTCTTGTATTATGTCCAAGGTGCCATACGAAGCTGAGGGAGAACATGTGGAAGTGATCTGAGACTAATGAAGCTCAGCACACGTTCAACCAGGAAGACCGTCTTTACTCATTCATTTACTATTTCCATGTTACTACTCTCTCTCCTCTCAATACGTGATCAGGGGCGTCATTCCCCAGCTTAACCAATCACTTCGCCCGATTCTCACAAGGCTATCATAGCACTCCGCTGACCCTTTTAAATCTGCTCTCCCCTCTGACAGCTGTTATTTCAGGTGACTCGACGCAACCCTCCTCCACCCCTTTTCACCTCCTGTCCCTCTGAATCCAGGGTCAAGCTAAGCCCCTCCCCTTCAGACCGACCCCAACTATCCATTCACCACCACCAGGGTCAAGCTAAGCCACTCCCCTTCAGACCGAACCCAACTATCCATTCACCACCACCAGGGTCAAGCTAAGCCACTCCCCTTCCGACCGACCCCAACTATCCATTCACCACCACCAGGGTCAAGCTAAGCCACTCCCCTTCAGACCGACCCCAACTATCCATTCACCACCACCAGGGTCAAGCTAAGCCACTCCCCTTCAGACCGACCCCAACTATCCATTCACCACCACCAGGGTCAAGTTAAGCCACTCCCCTTCAGACCGACCCCAACTATCCATTCACCACCACCAGGGTCAAGCTAAGCCACTCCCCTTCAGACCGACCCCAACTATCCATTCACCACCACCAGGGTCTAGCTAAGCCACTCCCCTTCAGACCGACCCCAACTATCCATTCACCACCACCAGGGTCTAGCTAAGCCACTCCCCTTCAGACCGACCCCAACCATCCATTCACCACCACCAGGGTCAAGCTCTCTCCTGATTGAATAATTGAGTTTCCTCCTGAAACAAAGCACAGTGTTCATCATCACTGAAACCGTGCCGCGCCACACTAAGCTCATGGGTGCGCCGTATCTTCGGCTCAGTTGAGGCCCCCTCCGCAAGATGAGGCCCCACGCAGTCTGCATGATCGGCAGGGAGGGACGGCCCTGCTTATTAGCTGGCCCTAACATGTAAAGTTATACAAGCATTTTGTACCAGTGCTTTTCACAAGTAGACTCTTGCAGGCCAGAGTAGCTGGAGTGAGTCAACAACAACAAGACATATCTGAGAAGAGATCAGGACGAACAGAAAGAGGGAAAGGAAAAGAGAGTTCACTGAAGAGACCAGGAGGGTCAGAGCAGGAGGAAGCCAGAAGGAGATGAAGAGACCAGGAGCAGGCACGAAACATACTACCAATATAAATACATTGCTTCTAAAAATCGTTCTCTGTCAGAATACTGAAATCTGTATTTTTTAAATCTTTTTTCCTTCTACTTTGTTATTATTTACATGAAATGTGACACGAAAAAAATTGGGAAATCGTGTTGGTGAACACAATTCAATAGATTAATTGTGTGACTATAACACGAAATGCCGTGAGACTGTGTTGTGTGATCTGTAATTTACGTGGATTTAATAAACTACCGCATAGTTTAGCAAATAAAGTGATCGATCTCCCAGCTAGTGCTGTCTGCGTAACAGGACAGTCCGTTAAACGCTATCGATTCAAACGGCAGCGTTTTATTAATATTTAGTTTCAAGCTCTCGTCTTTAGTAAAAACAAAACTAGTGGAAGGGGAAACACTCCCAGGGGAAGCTGATCCACCCTCAGGTGGTGGGACAGCTCGCTCCCTCTCTGCAGCTGTGTGAGCCGCGGTCTGTGTGAACGTCGCTCCGCAGTTTAATGCAGGGCCGTAGCTGCGTTTTTAACGGGCCTAAAATGATATTTAAAATGATTCACTTTTAATTAATGAACTGCTTGTTTCGTTGCTTGAGAATCTTGTGGACATAGTGTATGTTTGTTTCTACAAGTACAGTTTTAGGGACACAAAAGTTAGGGGGGCAGCTGGGGGAAAGGCTCTACAGTGGAGGGGGGGGGGGGGCAGCTGCCCCCCCCCCCCGGTAATAGGTGACCTTTAAACATTGTGTTCCTGACTCAAGGCTTGTCATTTGTTGCCGAGTGTACATGTGCACATCAGCTAACAAAATGCAAGATGACATGTGTGCAAATATTGTCCCAGCAAACTGTTAACATGCACATTTAATTTGCTGCCAAATCCAGGGAGAGCTGTTATGACAGCAGAGAAATGTCATAACAGGCTGAAAGGTAACTTGGAAACAAACATCTGTATCCTTCAGATGTGGAAATACAGGCAGAACATTTCAGATCAAAGAGAGCATGAGGAGGATACATCTAAGAGAAGACAGATGCACAAAACGAGCTGCCGTGTCTGAAGAGTTTAGAGATCTAATGACGAGGATGAAAGAAGACAGGAAGTAGACAGGTGACGAGACGCTGGAGGGAGCACGCATGTTTAAAAATAGATATGGTTGTAATTAAAGATACAGCGTGCAGGCAGGGAGATGGGAGAAAGTGATTTGTCAAAACAGAAGCTGTTCATTGGCTGCTCCACTTGAGAGCTCCATCTGGAGGTCACATGACCTGCAAACACGATGCACAGGGAAGAGGAAGCATGGATACATGTACATGCCGTGCTATAATGCTTTTTGGGGTTTTTCCTTTCCTGTAGTGTTATATAGGTTTCAGTGCATGTAAATGGTCTGCAAAGGCTAAAATCCCTGTAATGTAATGCCTGAAATGCCTCCATTGGACTCAGTTTACTTCCGTAACATAATGACCTCACTTTGTAACACTTGCGCTTCTATTGTCTACTCTGACACATTGTACGTGATAGGCTAAGGGGCAGGACATCTCTAAGCGGTTGAACAATCACAACAGAGCCGGCCAGCTAACCAATCAGAGCAGACTGGGCTCTGGTTTCAGACAGAGGGTGAAAAGAGGTGCTGCAGCACAGGCAGTATGAGAAAAGCTTTTTGACCATTAAAGCATGGAGACATGTGACAGTAGAGACACTAAATACAAATATGAACCTAAACATTTGCATAATAGGGCCCCTTTAAAGTAAAACACGGCAGCAAAATGACACATTTACACACAGAGGAAAACCAATTAGCCTGTACACACACAAACCAAAAAAAGGACATATTTAGTTGAATATATATATATTGCTTTTAAGCTGTACGTTGAAGAGTATTACGATTCAGTTTTAGAAAACATTCCATCATTTATTATTCAAGACATCCAATCTCAAACACAAGCACAACAGAGACACATTTTGTAATTATCTAACAATGTTTAATGACCTTTTTATTTAGTTAGATTAATTAGTTAACAGTATACAATTCAATTCACTGACACACTAGTGTCTTCACAAACATAAAATGGACTGTACAGCAGATGTACTGTATACTGTTGCACTTTAGTGCAGTGGGCAAAAACACATGTCAAGTTTTGAGAATGAGTATATATAAAGTGTAGTTATACCCATGTTTGTACAAGGGTGTGTGTGTGTGTGTGTGTGTGTGTGTGTGTAGAGTGTAACAGTGGAGGAGGAGTTAATGTAACTATCAAGCATGTGGGGTTTGGTTGTGTGTGTGTATGTGTGTGTGTGTATGTTGTTCATGAATAGACAGTCCAGTCATATCAAACATTTACGACGGGCAGTTGTGACGATCATCACCGTCCGTCTTCAGCGTTTCACAGCATCGGGGGAAATCTTCCCTCAACTCCTTTCATCTGAGCGACCAAGTGGGAAACCTGCAGAGAGCGAGGACCAAACACAGAGATTAGCGCCACAAATAACGGAGGGGAAAACCCAACAGATCATTTATTGAACAATTCAGGATCTCTCAAAAGGAATACTTCACCCAGAAATGACGTGTGAATGTGTGCATCAATTACTCACTACGTGTTTTGAAGTTTCCTTACAGGAGTTTTAGATTTTAATTTCGACTCCTTGAGTGAGACTATGGAACAGTGTGAATGTGGAGCTAAAGCGATGTCCAGACATTAACCAGTTCAAGAGGAAATACAGAGAAATTATGTTCTCGAGGTACAGGGATAGGGAAGGTGTTTGACTATGTGTATATGTGTGAGTATGTAGGTGTGTACATGTGCATATATATATATGTGTGTGTATGTACATGTGTGTATATGCATATATGTCAATCCACAGGTAAAGCAGATTAATAATAATAATAATAATAATAACAATACAAATTAATAATAATGATAATTATTGCAGATTATAAATAAATCATTTAGGGACAAGGGGGTGAGATTAAATGAATTATACTTCTCACTCCTTTTCGAACACTAGATGTGGGACTGTTTATGTTGCTAATGCTGTTGTTGTAAATGTCATTTTTTTGTTTGTGTTGTAATTATTTATTTTACTTGATCGAAATAAAATGTATCAATCAATCAAATGAAGGATGCAAAAATTGTACAAAGTTCTTTATGGGAAGATGTGGGGGCCTGGTTTATCAAAACTATATCAAAACTTCCATTTGCAAACTCTCCCAATTGGATGAGTAATAGATAAATAAATGCTCATTGTGGGGGTGTAGTATTTCATTCAAAGGGGGCACATTATGCTTTTTGGGAGTTTCCCTTTCCTGTAGTGTGTTAAAAAGGTTTGTGTGCATGTAAAGGCAAACATCCCTGTGTTTCTCTCCCACCGTGACATCACTATGTAACTCTCGTGCTTCTTTTGTTAGCAGTGTTGTGGTTGTTTGTTCAGGAGTTGTAATATCTGTATCATGGGTCCAGGTGTCCTCCTTGAGTCAAAAGTTCTGATATTGGGCTTTACAAATAGAACTGAATCTCTTGTTTGACTTTTATTGCATTGCATCTGAATAAAGTACTTTAATCTTCTCTCCGCAGCAATTTGTCCTCGAGTCATTTTTTTTCTAACTTGTTTTAGGGAGGCAAAAAGAAAACCTGACGCAGCACAGCTTTCTGTTTGAGGCGCAAGCTTATATATACAAGCTTATATACTTATATACAAGCTTATATTGTGTAATATTACAACGGAACTATTCAAACTACAGCTGATACTGGAGCTTAAAAGCCTAATTTGACATTGATACTTGTCACATTACATTACATTGCATTTAGCTGACGCTTTTATCCAAAGCGACTTACAATAAGTACATTCGACCAGGAAGACACAAACTTGAAGAAAACAGAATCATATAAGTACATCAGGTTTCATAGAGCCAAACATTTCAAGTGCTACTCAACTGGCTTTAGGTAAGCCAGTCCTTTATTAGTATATAAGTGCTTTGTTAATAGTTCTATCGCTCGAAGTGGAGTCGAAAGAGATGAGTTTTCAGTCTGCGCCGGAAGATGTGCAAGCTATCTGCCATCCTGATGTCAATGGGGAGCTCATTCCACCATCCTGGAGCCAGGATAGCAAACCCACGTCACGTGCACTAATGCACATTTCTCAAAGTTATTGAAGTGACTGTTGTTTTGTATATATTGATTGTTGTGCTTCTATTTACGTCTAAATGTGTGGATATGTATAAATGTGTCTGTTGATTGTGTATATATATTTTTTTATACATATTTCTATATATATATTTGTATTTTTGTATTTGGGGAAACAGTATTTTGATCTCTCCGTCTGTACACACAAACTGAAAGATTGACAATAAAGTTGACTTTGACTTTAGTTAGAAGACTTCCCTCAATGTGCTTGATTAAGAATTGTGACCAAGACTGTAATGAGCAGGACATTTCACATCAAATAGAAATTGGTAAGTGCTCAAAATGTAAATATATGTTTCTGTATGTTTCCAGCAAAACAACTAGATATTATGAGCGAACATTAGCAACACATAGCCATTCGAACGTATCAGAATATTTTAAATGTTAGTGAGTTCAGCTAAATTAGAGCCAGAAAACATCACAAGGACAGATACAGGAAAACAGTCCTGCCCACTGCGATAACTGTGCAACAAATCACCTCTGACCCGAAGAGAACCCTCTGACCCGAAGAGGACCCTCTGACCCGAAGAGGACCCTCTGACCCGAAGAGGACCCTCTGACCCGAAGAGGAAGAACCCTCTGACCCGAAGAGGAAGAACCCTCTGACCCGAAGAGGAAGAACCCTCTGACCCGAAGAGGAAGAACCCTCTGACCCGAAGAGGAAGAACCCTCTGACCCGAAGAGGAAGAACCCTCTGACCCGAAGAGGAAGAACCCTCTGACCCGAAGAGAACCCTCTGATAACTGGACTTTAACTCCCACTGCACATTTTACATTTATATTCAATTGAATATTGAATAATCCCTTTCTTGCACAATTAATGTATATATAATGTCCTGCATTATATTTGCTACTGGAAATTTGTATTTCCACATGTATATTTTTTTACTTTTTAGTGCCATTTTATTTCAGAAATATTTTGGACTGTTTATTTCTCTTATGTATATTTCCTTGTTTTTTATGCTGCTGCAACGCAAACATTTCCCAAATTGATCAATAAAGTACTAATCTACCTATCCATCCATCCATCTATCTATCTCTCCGTCTATCTCTCTCTCTCTCTCTCTATCCGTCTATCTCTCTCTCTCTCTCTCTATCCGTCTATCTCTCTCTCTCTCTCTCTCTCTCTCTCTATCTGTCTCTATCTCTCTATCTCTCTCTCTCTCTCTCTATCCGTCTATCTCTCTCTCTCTCTCTCTCTCTATCTGTCTCTATCTCTCTCTCTCTCTCTCTATCCGTCTATTTCTCGCTCTCTCTAAACCATCTGGACTGATTTAAGGCCTTTAAATCAGAATAGTGAATCCCCTCACCTTCACCAGTCGTAGCGCGGGCGGCTCTGAGGCTGACGGTGTCTGGGCGACTCGTGTCTGGGCGACTCGTGCCGGGCTCCGGGGGGGGTCGGGGGGCTGGGGGGGGCCGCGGGGGCCGGGAGGGCCAGCTGCTGACCGCCCCCCCGTCGATCTCGGCCGTACTCCAGCGCCCGGGCGGTCGGGGGGACGTACCTCCCCGCCTCCCTCCTCCACTCCTCGTCAAACGCTCCAGCATCAGCTAAAGGAGGGGAGGAAAGGATAGGAATTGAAGGCAAGGCAAGTGTATTCAATAGCACCTTGATATGCTTATACTGTACAATATGATGCAGTACTCTACCAGTCAAAAGTATTCAAAAGTAGCTTAAAAACAAGATACAAGTACTGTACTTAAGCTTTGAGATACTTTTTATGTACCGGATTATTTCCATTTCAGTTGTTGTAGTTTATACTTTATTCTGACAGTGCAGTGTGAGATACACACATCTGAAATGTTTCAATCTCATTGCTCACTTTTTAGCAGAAATAGTTTTCTATGACCTCACTTTCTTTCTACTTTCTTTGTTAACTTATCCCCTTTGGAAAATTATAATCTGACCCCGTGGTACCCTTTTAGTTTTCGCCGAAACTATTCCTCTTTTTTTTTTAAATGCACATTAGTTAAGTTTACCTTGTCTTTCTATGACATGTATTTACCTTGTGTGAATCCTATCTTTCATTCTGACACTGTTGCTGCCATAAACGCCTGAGTTTCCCCGAGGGGATGAATAAAGTTCCATCTTATCTTATCTTAACGTCAGGGTCACGGTCAGGGGTTCACAACCTTTTCTATCTTTGAGTAAACCGACGACCCCTGACTAAGTACCATATTGTATGGATATATTTCAAAAACAATACACACTATGGCTGGAGAATATATGTATTTATAAAACGGACAAGTCAAATCAAGCAATCTGATTGGTTCTTAGCCGTGATATAATGAGCGTATATCACGGGTAGAATTGTAGTTACTTTTCACAGCAAGTCAGTATCCCTCCGCGCCTGAGAAAAGCTACAACCGTTACATTACGTCCGTTACGAAACTAACTAACTAACAAAGCTTAAGATGGAAACATGTAAGGGATAATGTGCGGCAAGGACTTATTGACCGTTGTTAAGGGCGCTCAAATCTGCAGAAAGAAGTCCGGTCGATTTAACTGTATACAGTTGAGCTGAAAATGTTTGCTTTTCAAACTGGGACAAGAAAACAGCGGGGCCGAACCACGCCCCTTAACTGTGATATAATGGCCATATACCACAGCCTGTCGTGAGCTATTGCTTAAATATATCATTGATATTGTCATATGACACGATACCGTCTTAGACTTTAAATATCGATAAATCAAATAAGCATCGTGTTTTCCTGGTTTTAAAGTCAGAAGTACAATAAAGTGTTAAAATGTTCTGATCCTTTAGTTATTTGCCTTTACGTCATTAAGTCATTAAATTCACATAACAGAGGATTATTTATCAGAATTCTCATTGTGTGAATATTTTGTAAAAGCACCAACGGTCCTGCCAATATCGATATCGATGTACTTGGTCAAAAATATCGACATATATGATGTTATTCAAGTCGCCCAGCCTTATCAACTGTTAAACTGAAGAATTGAGCCAAACAATGACCCTAATAACTGCATGGACTTCAGGTAGAACGAGTGATTTGGATGAAGCTGTTCACAGAAATGATATAGGCTGTATGCTTTCATCAAGTTATATTACGGTCCTTAAACTCAAGGAGGCTTTTCGTGACACTTTGTCGTCCCCCAGGTTAAAACCCAGTGGTCCGTGTAATCTGACAACATTACTTTTGTTTCTCGTTAACCCAGACGATTTATTAGGGACGAGTGCACGCCTCTCTCCTGAACATCGAGCATCTTTCTGGCCCGTTGACTCACTCTCATCGAGGTTAATGAAGTCATTTCTGTCCTCGCGGTCTCCGGTGCGGCGGTTTCGTGAACGCTCCATTACGTGTCCACGCTCCCCGATGTGGTGTCCGATGGCGAGGCGTTCCAGGCCGCTCTCGCTGTCCCTCATCGACTGCCGCGTCTCACGGATCTGAAGACAAAAGTGATGACAAGTCACTTTAGCAAAACAAGCAGCAGCTGTGAACTCTCAATGAACTCGGGCTGAAATGTTTGTATGACAACGATGATGTTTATACTGTACATGATCGACTTATTGTCACTACAATGAATGCCGTTTCATGTGTTAATGAGGTCAGAAAGCCACAGTCCTGTCAGCACAAATGAAGCATGAACATCCAGTCACACTTAAAGAGGTTAATCAGGTCTACTTTGTAGCGTTTTGATGTTAAAGAGCTCCTATCAGGCTCTTTCTGGGTTTCCCCTTTCCTGTAGTGGGTGAGTGGGTGTAGTGGGTGGTTTCCTGGGTGAGTTTTTGTGCATGTAATGGTCACAAAAGCTCAAATCCTTGTGCCTGAAACCCCTCCACCAGACTCCTTTATTTACTTCAGTATCATACTGACATCAAAACGTAACACTTGCACTTCTATTGGCTCCAACACAATGTACGTGACAGGCAGTATGAGACAAATAAAGAGCTTTTTGAACATTAAAGCATGGAGACATGTCCCAGTAGAGACACTAAGTACAAATATCAACCTGAAAATGAGCAGAATAAGTATTTTTTAAGTTGCTGGGGTGCCAGTCAATTTAAATAGTTAGAGTCTGGTCAAACCCTACAAAGGGTATAAGTATTAAAAAGCCAGGGCAAATGGCACAACGCTTTTAAATTTGCCACATAAACCATGTTAAATCCACACTCTTCAACAAATCACAAACCCTTAATGCAACATAATAATATTTCTAAAGTTAGTTAAATAGTGACAGTGTGATTAAATGAAGCCGTCCCATCCAGAAAAATAATAAGTATACACTGCAATAACTCCTTCCAGATGTTCCCAATACCCACTGGAACAAGTCCACTATGGAACCAAAGTCAATCATTCACAGTACTTTCAGTTTAGTCCAAACACACATAGCGCCTCTTAGTGAAAAATCTGCCAATGTATTTGCCGATCTTTAATGAAATAGAGTTCAGTCAGTGTAGTCAGGTCAAGAAGGAAGGCTTTGGCACCAATCAGCGCTCCCTCCCTATATGTATTGTGAACTTTTGAAAGAACATCCGGCAGTGGCTCAGTCAGTAGGGGCTTGGACTGTGAGCTGTAAGGTCGCCGGTTCAAGTGCCCGACCAGACCTATTATATGGAGTGTGGACTTCTACTTGGAGAGGTCCCAGTTCACCTCCTGCCCTTGAGCAAGGCACCGGACATCCCCCTTCCCCCCTCACTCCCTGGGCGCTGTACAATAGCTGCCCACTGCCCCTAGTACTAGACTCCTGGTGCTAGGATGGGTTAAAAGCAGAGAACACATGTCACCGTGTGCTCTGCATGCGAGACCATTCAAGAGGGGTTCATCCAAATTCTATTCTAACAACCATCTGTTTGCAACTTATATCAATATTCCAATGACTTGTATATATACTATTCTGCACTATTTCTACTATATTCTGTATCTGTGTTATTGTGTTGCACTGTTGGGGGAGGCTGTGACCTCAGATTTTCATTGTCATATCTACACTGTAGCTAGTATGCACACATCAAATAAAAGCCTTGAATGGAAAAGTATTTAACCATCAGATGTCCTCACCCCTCCTGGTCCTGTTCTCGTCGCACTCGTCTGCTGATAAACTTCAGGAGGCCCCGCGTCTGAAGAGGAGTAGGAGATCATCGTCGAAGAGGAATACGTCTGACAGTTCGATGAGCCGGACATTCTTTCCTGCGAGAAGAACATAAATGGAGTGGCGTTCAGACACAGCTTTCATTCATGAGGGTCATTACCGTGTGTTTATTTGGAAACTGCTACACAGGACTACTCACCACGTTTCCCATCATGTCTCCCATCATGCCAAACATATCCATGAACCCTCCTCCTCCTCCTCCTCCACCACCACCCTGCAAAAATTAAACTTTATTAAATGATCAACTGACGTCAAGTATTAACACAGTGTTGGAAAGGACAGCTTTTATTGTCAGTTTAGTGCAGCGATGGTCATTCTTATAAGCCTCTCAACTTTCTTTTTAGAGCAAGAAGAAGCATGAAACACTTAAGTTTTAGGACAGCCATTTGCAAACTGTGATCTTGGGTTATGGTGATGATACATTTGTTTTAATGCAATCTCTGAGTGGGTGTTTATTCTGTGTGTGATCATGGACACAGCTTGACTAACATGCAGTTATGGGCTTTATTTAAGCACTTAAGAAATGTCTTAAGAAAGATCCTTTAATGACCAATAGATAAATCAATAAGATAAGTGTGTGATGGAATTTACGTTTTTCTTTGGAAAAAGAAACAAGTCCTGTTTCTTTTGTCCTTATTCTGTTGGTAAGGTGAAAAAGACAAGCACAGATTCAAGTAAATATGGTGTCTTTTCCCACCACATTGCCCTTATAGTGTTTAAGTGTAAACCCAACTTAATTGAAATGTAACATGGACCATGAGATTTAAAACTAGAATACATGGAGACGGCTTTTCACACAATGCTGTGATTTCACATGAAGATCAGTAAACTCTTTGACACCGGGTGAAGTCACTTAATTGTACATGTGTCATCTGTACAATTACATTTAAACTATATGTTTCAAGTTTTTCAAAGAGCTCAAAGAAGAAGCTATTTACCATTCCCATCATGCCGAAGGGGGTCATGGCACCAGCCTGAAAGAAAATGTACAATGAGATTAAAAAGGTACCAACAGGATGGGTCGTTTAATGTCAGTTTTCATACAACACACGCAGCTCAAAGTGCTTTACAAAATGACACATCACACGTTAAAACAAACAAGAAATTCCCCTCAGATTATTTGTTAAGAACTTAAAAAAGGTACATATAGGTACAACAGAAATACAAATAAAAAGACCTATAAAATAAATAAAACAATATGAAAGCAGGTAAATAATAAAGACTAAAAGGACATTTAAAGTGGGGGGTTGATAATACAAAGCTAATCTAAACAGATGTGTGTTTAAACATATATAGTGGCTCAACATGGCGGAGAGTTACCTGTCTGCGTGGGGCGCGGGGGGGTTGTATCGCGGGGGTGAGAGCAAAGGGATCCATGCCGAAGGGTCCGAACATCATCCTCATCTGCTGCCTGTGAGCAGCAAATGGATCCCTGCAAGACATCAGATTACACTTTAACTTATTGGTTTGTTAAGACTCAAGACAAGGGGGAGTAGACTCACAGTACAGTGCGAGTGCAGGATGAACGTTGGATAATAAAAATGAAGGGTAATATGTTGGGGATCACGAGGGCCCAGGAGTTCAACAAATCAGATTTTGAAATCCCATTTTTTGTGATCCAGGATCAGACAACTCGGACAGATTTAGTCCCAGTATTTCAAAGCCGTTCGGGATAGGATCACCCTGATCCAGATGCAGGCTTTTCAAGATGACTCGATCCTGAATATCGGTGCTGTAATCCTACCGATCTCCATCTAGTGGATATGAAAAAGAATACAAGGAAGACAAGAGACCACATTGCAGAGACATCCACTGTCCGCATTTACTTTTGAAAGGTGATGGACTTTTTTTTTGTTGAAGATATTTTTCCTTTAATCTAAATTACATTTGTGATTGGCAGTCTTTGTTGTGATACTTTTATGAGCATAAACATTTATGTCATCAACATTTGGTTGAAAGCAAAATAGGCCGCCACAAACGTGAGCAAAAAATAAAATGTATTTGCCATGAAGGCTAAACATTGTGTATTATTTCAGTTAACAAACTTTGCCATCTTATTTATATTGGAACATATTTTTAAATAAATTGTACAGTTCATTTTGCTCTGATAATCCTGGAAAGCCAGCCCTCTGGTGGGATCAGGATAATCCCGTTTCTTGGGATCAAACTGATGCCAATCCTGTGTTGTCGGTTTGAACTACCCGTTTTCAAGATTTGGTCCAGATTAAAGCTTGGATTGGATTTCCTGATCTGATATCAAAGTGATCCTAATCCTGTGTTTTGGTTTTGAACTCCCCAAAATCCAAATCTGATCCGATAGGGATTAAAAGTGTTGAACTCCTGGGCCCAGGATATCAACATGTTCCCATAGGGTTTCAATCCTAAAACCATCTTTTTGGAACTTGTTGAGTTTGGGGTAAAACAAATGGTCTGGTAATGGAAACATCTTTATCTTTCAAAGGTGAAGTAAAGTGTCAAAAAAAAGGATGGGTGCCCAAGTTTCAGATTTGTATCAAAACTAGCGTTGCCATGTTGTCAAAGCATGCTTACTGTATACTACCGGTTTGACTTGAGTTTATGTATAACGTGTTAAAGGGTGAACTGAACCTCCTCGAGTAAAGAACCACGTTTCAGTTCCCACAGTGTGAGTAATGAGCCAAGCATTAATGTTGCAGGTTCCTTTCCAGCCAATTAACTAGTCACTTAAGGTTACATTTAAATCAAGCTTTTTCAGAGCATGGAAGGAGCCGTACAACAGAGTCACTTACCCAATTGACAGAAAGAGGACAGACAACTATGTTGATTTTTCCCATACGCAAAATCATTTCTGTTACCACCTTCTCTTATGAGACGATTTGAGGCTTATCTTTTGTCACAGATGACCATGGACTGAAGATCTTTGGACTATTGCTCAGGCAAATACACTTGAAGCATAGGCAGTCAAACATTATAACAGGAATTATAAATAACGGATCTTAAATTGTAATCATTGACTTCACAATAACGGCATTGTTTCAGAACCTGCCTGGCTGTTGTTTTGAGATTATAACAGTGCTTTTGATGACTTTGTGACAGGCTGACAGTAGGGGATCACAGAACCCCCCAAAAGGCCCACCATAGTTTCAGTAGCATTGCATTATTCAAAACTAATGATGAAGCGTGTGTGTGCTGGTGCATGAAGTCTATAATGACATCCACAGTTCCACATTTACTCAACCCTTTCAAATCAGTTTCCTATGAATGCAGATGTGTTATGCTGGGAAGAAAAGGGATTGTCAGCACTTTTCAGTTTCATGCATTTGTCAAATGTAGTGGAAAACTCCTCATGCAACGTTATGTAAAAGGTACTCTGTTACCTGCACCATTACATCAATCAGAATCAGGTGTATTGCCAAGTAGGTATACACACAGAGGAACTGGCCTTGGTGTATCCATAAACACAGTTAAAGAAGACAAAAGGCCAAACAAATAAAAACAATTCAACTGGATACTATATCTAAGTACACATAATACAATAAAATGCAGTATTATTATGGAGAATGGAAAGCTTTGCTGATACTAAGAGAGGTAGCTTGTGTACAAATTAGTACAAGCAATGCCACCTGCTATCAATTAGCTTAATCCCAAGTTATGAAAGTCGTGATAATCGCACATTTGAGCAGTTGGTGATTATTTTCCTCTGCTTTTGGGCTTTGACAGCTTTTTTGTTATTGTCTATCCAACATGGTGGACCACTGTAGGCCCCCACAGCTGGAGAAACGTTAGGGTACCTGCTTAAGACACAGTGAAAAAACACCACCTAGCATGTGCATTTCGTCCCTCTTGCAAACCACATAGTGATACAAGTGTCTACACAACATACACATAATGTCCACACTTACATCATGTAGGGGTCGTCATCAACGTCATTCAAGTACCGAAACATGCTGGGTGGTTTAACTCAGCTGGCTGATGCTATGCTAGCCAGCTAGCTAGGTAAACAGTCGTGTTTTTCAAGGATGAGACAGAATGACGGCCGCTAACTGCCAACAGGCTGAAATGAAGCTCCTTTTATCAACCCCTTCCCCAGAAACACTCAATCCCAGCGGCTGTTTATCAAAGCGAGAGGCGGCCCAGAGTCCCAGAAGATAGTAAATTCCAGAAACCTGGACCAAACATGAAAACGGAAGTCAGTCCTCTGACAAAGAGAAGCTACACTGCTATAAAGTTAGCATCAGAGCTAATGACAGGGACTTCCGGTAGCTTTACCTTTCAAAATAAACTACTTCCCTAGAGGCCTTTATTACATCATTTCATTATTTAGATTTTGGAATACTGTAAGCCAAGATATGATACAAAATGTCAAGTCAAATGATGTACACTTCATACATCTTTATATGCACACTCCTTGGACAATTTTGAACATTTCTCCACCAAACTAGCACTTCTAATAACTGCACACCTCTTTAATTTTAGAACAGATTTTTATTCAGATTTATGCTTTGAAGAAGCCCTATTTTTCCTTTGATCCAAATACAAAAATAAAGACAAGTTACACTGCTGCCAAGTTTGCATCAGAGCTAATGCCAGGGACTTCCGGTAGCTTTGCCTTTCAAAATAAACTACTTCCCCAGAGGCTTTTCTGGTAATTTTTTTTTTTTTTGACTGACAAGACAGTCAGACAGACACACAGAAAGACAGACAGGCAGACAGACAGACAGACAGACAGGTAGGCAGGTAGGTAGGTAGGTAGAGATAAATAGGTAGATAGGTAGATAGGCAGGCAGGCAGGCAGGCAGGCAGGCAGGCAGGCAGGCAGGCAGGCAGGCAGGCAGGCAGGCAGGCAGGCAGGCAGGCAGGCAGGCAGGCAGGCAGGCAGGCAGGCAGGCAGGCAGGCAGGCAGGCAGGCAGGCAGGCAGGCAGGCAGGCAGGCAGGCAGGCAGGCAGGCCAATATATATATATATCTGTCCACCAGGCGGCAGTGTTTATATTCCACATATGTGACTTTTGCTCCTCCATTCTACGCATGCGCAGAAAGTAATTCGACCCTCAAACCCGGATGTAACCAACGCCTAACCTGTCCGAAGAAAAACGGTGAGTAGAGTTAGAAAAACAGCATTAAAATACATATGTATTCTTTATTTTACTATGGTACTTATGTAAGAACGTCCCGTTAACAAAACAAAGCTTCTACCGAAAGAAAACGCCTTTTGATTGCTGTTAAAATCCGCGTACTGTTAAAGTTTCCGAGCTATAATGTGTCGGCTAACATCAATCTGGGAAAATGAAGTTGTTATCCCTGCTGTTGTTTTATTATTCACCTGTTTTGTATTTATAGATTAAACTGTCGCTAGTTTATGTAGTTAGTTAATAATGACAACAGTTTGACACACGACATACACTTGAATAACCTCTCATTTCATCAATCTGAGCCAAAAAGAGCAAATTACAAAGAATTAGCCTCAGATTTAACAGCTTTTTTTTGGTTTGTTAAAGCTTCTTAGTGTCAAGTTTGTGCTTTAAAGTTTCCACAGATCTGCATTTATCTGATGAGTTGCTTATTTAGCGGAAGTGTTGGGCAGTATCCGCCTCTGAATGGGCTAATACAGGCCGTCGTTTTGTTACACATGTCTGGTATGTAGTCTATGCGGAAGGGATTCACTGTCATCAATAAGCAGACACATGTAGCAACAAGCTAAGGATGTGTACTATTTCTACTACCTTAATCATTTATCTTAGTAACAACCCACAATACCACATAATTATAACACTAAAATCAAGCAAGAGTACTTTTAAATGGAGAAATCCTACTTGTGCACCGTACATTTTGTATTATTTACCAAGTCTTCCACTTGAAACTAGCTCAGTGTGTTTGAAATATCAAATATCATAATTAGTTTGTATTTAAAACACATCTGGATGCAATAAAGCATTAAATAAGAGTCACATTGCAGGTTACACAGTGCGAACATCTTTTTTCACCTTCACATTATTGTTTTTTGTAACAAGTTGAGGATCTATACATGTATGGATGTAGATTAACAAAGAATAGACATCTTTAACATGTTTGGAGACAATGTAGTAAGTTAAAAACGTAACTGTATAACAGAAGTCCTTTTTATTTTGGCAAAAAATCTGCCTAGCGATGTTTTTATTTACTGAAGTTTCCTGAACTAAAATTGACTTTTCTTATAATAAAAGTGCAAAACTGGAAAGGTATTTTTGTCTTAACAAGGCCTTCCAAAGTTTTTGTTTTACACATCTAACTAGAAATGTCTTATTACTGGACATTTCCAAAAGACATGCCAGTGTTTGGCTCCACAAGATACACAATACACCAGCATAAGAAACATAAACTAGACAATGCCGTAGATAAATAAATAAAACAGAGGATGTGTGATGGATAATGATCAGGGTGGATATGCGAGTGTGTGTTTGAGACGTGATTTGAAAATGGGGAGAGAGTCAGTATTGCGGATATCAGGTGGGAGGGAGTTCCAGAGGCGGGGTGCAGAACGGCTGAAGGCTCTAGACCAGGGTGTCAAACTCAAGGCCCGGGGGCCAAATCAGGCCCTTGGTGGATTTGATTTCGGCCCGCAGGATAATTTCTAATTACTATTAGATCTGGGCCGCCGGTATATTGCACGCACACCTTCACTCCATCCTGAGGGTCTCCTCAGCTCAGAGCCTGAGCCCAAACATTGATGAACCTGCCCCCAAGATGAGATGCCAAGTATCTGAACTAGCTTCACAGAGCAGCACACTGAGTTTAATGGATGTTTCCTTCTGCACGGCAACAGGGCAGGTTTGGTTTGTTCTTTGAGGGAAATAGTTTTTTTGAAGCTGTTGTTGGCCTGTGGAAAAATGTACTCATAAGAAATGACTCAGGAAAAGCTGCAGGTAGAGCCATAAGAAATTAATGCAACTGATTATTTAATGTTGTTTTTATAGGCAATCATTTAAGCTTTGTTAGTTCCAGGTTTAATATGTGCAATAAGTTCATTTCAATACGTTTTGCAATAAACATTGAACCAGTCCGGCCCTCGACTAATTTGGCCCACTGTGTATTTGAGTTTGACACCCCTGCCCTAGACCCCATGGTGGTTAAACGGAAGGGGGGTGCAGTGAGGTGGAGGGAAGTGCGGATGGATGGATGTGTTGATGTGCAGGAGGTCGGAGAGGTACAGAGGAGTGAGGTTACGCATGGCTTTAAAGGTGAGGAGCAGAATCTTAAACAGGATACGGGGTTTGACGGGGAGCCCGTGAAGCTGCTGAAGAACAGGAGTGATGTGATTCATGGAGGGGGTTCTGGTGGTGATGTATACAAACTCAAGCAGTGTCAAATTGATAAACACAAATATGACTCATTCTAAATGATATATAAACAAATGATCTCCTTAATTACACATCCGAAAAGGGGTTGGAAGAAGTTTACACTTATTTAATCCCACCCGTTCTTTCAGTCTTAATATTTAACACTGTAACTGACAACTCTATTATTGTTTTCATCTCATTAATATGAATAAAGTTAAGGTAACAGAAATGACTTTATGTGATCAAAATCAAACGCCTCTAAAATAGAAACCGAGCATTTCAACCTTCATTAAAGTCGTGCTTTATTGCAGGTCTGTTTTATTAGACTTCATTAGTTTTCATTAGGTGTGCAAAACTGGCAGCTGATTGTAAGGTTATTAAGTGTATCGGCCGTGTAAAATCTTACAAGATGTTACAGGCAAAGACCTTTCGGTACCACTTTACAATAAGACTACCCTTATAAAGGATTCATAAATGGTTTATAATTAAGTTGTAAACACTTTATTAATCATTAAGAACCATTTATAAACCAGTTCTAACATAGTTCAACTACATACATCAACACAGACTCACTATTTGGCAAGATGACGAAGCCTTATATTGGCTACTCAGCGAGAATCAACTCAGTGAGCAACAGATCCCAAGGATGCTGGCTGATGAAGAACACGAAGTACGCTAGGTAGCCAATATAAGGCTTAGTCATCTTGCCAAATAGTGAGCCCACATGTATCTGTACTGTCTTATATTGGCTACCTAGCTTACTTCGTCTACTTCATCAGCCAGCATCCTTAGTATCTGTTGTTCACTGAGTTGATTCCCCCCCCCCCCTTCCATCTTGATGTTTCTTGGCATCTCTTTATGACCATTTATTTACGAGTCACTAACATTTATAGTTGCCAAAAGGGAGCCTTGTTGTAAAGTGTGAAACAAATCACCATGTATTAATGAGTTACTGCCATTTCGAACAAGAGCCACTTTTACACCAAGTATGTTGCCGTACTTAGTTCCCAGCACTTAGTACCCCCATGGAAATAAGAGCCGATCGCGTTCACACCAGAATAAGTCCTTGAGGGAAGATTACGCAAATGAAGTCGCTGACGTCACTTCTTCTTCTTCTGCTTTGGGTTTACTGGCAGGCCGCAAATAACTTCACGGCGTATACTGCCGCCCAAAGTCCCCGGAGTTGGGTACTGGCTTCTACTGAAGCCTTCCGAGTAAATCGCCAGAACGCCGACACCTCCTCATCGCCACCGCTCCCATGTTTTCTTTTGTGTTGCCATAAGTTAGTCTCTCTCCGTTGGTGCGCGGGGCTAATGCTAATGCTAATGCCAGCAAATAAAATGGCGGCTTCACAAAATGTTTCCGAGTTTTACGGGGCGTGGTTTGCAATTCACCCAGCCAATAGAAATTGGAACTTTTTTCTCCCCAGGATAGTCCCACTCTCTAGCAGGCACTGAAAAGGGGGGGAAAGTTCTCTGAACTAAGTTCTCTTTTTGGTGTGAACGCAAAATCCCAGGAACTATCGGAACTAAACGGGAAAAGTACTCCGGTGTGAAAGCGCCTATTATATCATGGCTAAGAACCAATCAGATTGCTTGATTTGACTCATCTGTTTTATAAGTAGCATTTGAATCAGCTGGTTAATTACTTACCAATGAGAAATTATATCTGTCTCATAAATGTGTAGAAATACAAATTAAAGGAAATTCCCTCGTGCATTGGAAAAGAAGAATACACAGGAAAATCAACACTCAAGTAAAGTACCTCAAAACTGTATTCATGCTCAGTATTTGAGAAAATGCGCTTGGCTACTTCGCTTGCCTGACTCAAACTTGAAAACAGATATTTATATTTTGAGCCTTTTGTCAGTTTGTCACTTGAATCATTGTGCTTCCTGTTGATGTAAATATGTGGTAACTTGTTACTTCCTCCCAGCGTCTGCCTCTTTCAGACTGACTGTATTTCTGTTTGATTTTGATGTCTGCTCTTTCTCTCTGTAGATGCAGACTATAAAGTGTGTAGTGGTAGGGGACGGCGCTGTAGGAAAGACCTGCTTACTGATCTCCTACACAACCAACAAGTTCCCCTCAGAATATGTGCCCACGGTGAGAGGATTTGCTGAGTCATATTGTGTTTATATATATGTCAACTTCGAGCTTCCCTTTTCTTTAAATATCTCCGTGATGGAAATACCATGCAATCAAACATGCTGCATTTTATTTTTTGCAAATCATTTGTCTTTTCTGTGAAGGTTTTCGACAATTATGCAGTGACGGTGATGATCGGGGGAGAGCCCTATACACTCGGATTATTTGATACAGCAGGTAACATGAATGTTCTTTAAAATCTTGCTTTCTTTTCTTATATCTGTTTCTATAAAGCAAGTATTAATACGTCCCGCCTCTCTGTGATTGTGTCTCTCAGGCCAGGAGGACTACGACCGGCTGCGTCCGCTCAGCTATCCTCAGACTGACGTGTTCCTCATATGTTTCTCCAGCGTCTCCCCCTCGTCATTTGAAAACGTCAAAGAGAAGGTCAGTGTTTATGAATGAGTTTGTTTATCATTGTGGAAAAACACAACCCCTGTCTTTTGTTGTTGGATGTATCTCATGCCTTGCCTTGTGTTTGTTTGTTGATTATTTGTATCATTGATAAATCGGCAGATAGTTTCAAAGTTATTGGATTAATCGTTGTGTGGATGCCATAATGCTACTCAGCGCAAGTTCATTCTTTGTATTATTATTATTTGTTTACGTCACTTTTATTTGTTTGTTGAGCACTTCCGGTAATCGTCACATGGGTGTGGTTTGTCTATTTAAGTCACCGGTTTCATGTCGAGTGCGGATGACAGAGGGTGAGCTTGTGCTGTCATTTTTTCTGTTGACTGTTTTGTCCATGGTTACTATGTTATGATTTTGTTTATTAAATATCCCAAAAACTATCTTGCTTCACTATGGACTTTCCCTTCGAAAACGCGTCACAGTTTATAGCCAAGTTTAGCCTCTCGGCGACTCAAACGTATTGATTGAGCCGCCACACGTTGGGTGAAAAGATTGTGAAAATAGCTATCACAACAACCATGTTTCCTAAATTAAAGTGATCAAATGTCCTGCTTTGTTCCACTAATGGCGCGTTTCCACTGCAGGCCTCGCTCGGTTTGGTTAGGCCTTATTAGGCCCGGCTCACTTTAATGCTGCGCTTCCATTAGAGTTTAGGAATTTGGGTAGTTACTATAGTAACGCAGTGTAGGCGGAGCCGTGACGTCATCTTCAATGAGAGCCCCAGAAAAACAACACAGCCGTTAGCTCTTAGCACTCAGAGCTCACAGCTCCTCATATCTGTTCAGAAACTTGACAAAAGTTAAACAAGTACAAACCACAGACTGCCTGTGTCATGGTGAATACAGTCGCTGGTTTATTTATGTCTGTATAGGCCGTTGTTGTGAGTGTGGACGGTCGGAGCATATATAACGTTAGCTTAGCCAAGCTCCATTTAGAAAACACGCATTTTAAAAGGGTTTTTCGCCTGCCGTCTGTCTGCAGACTTGTCAAAACATTAATTCATGGTTTTTACTAACCGGTATCAGTATGTTGTTACTTCGGCATCATTTTGAAACGTGTATTACAATTAATTCACGGTCAAATATGTTCATCTTGTTGTAGTTGTAGCCCCCTTGCCAGCGATTCTCTCTCTAGTTTAGCATACTCAGCCCGACTCAGCCTGGTTGTTCCTGGCCCTAAAACCACGATTTTATGGGGCCAGAAAAACTGTGAATTAGGACCCGCTAGCCGGTACTAGGCCAAGTGGAAACGCAACCAAAAACTACCCGCTGCAGTGGAAACGCGCCATAACAGTCCAAACCCCTAAAGCAGGGGTGGCCAACCTGCGGCTCTCGAGCCGCATGCGGCTCTTTGCCTAGTTTCATGCGGCTCTTCAGTTCATATTGAATTTTATATGTGTGAGTTTGGGGGAGAGACACTGACTCCTGACTAGTGTTGCACGGTGTACCGATACTTGAAAGGTATACCGCGATACCCTGCCGTTAAAAAAGTTACGATTCCTCCGTTTAAGAATGACGGTGAGAAAGCGCCGTTTAAATAAGAGCTGTGTGTGTTCAGCGCTCTGCTTCCACTCCCTGCACTGCAGCCGTGCCTGCAGTCCCGCCCCTCTCAAGCACGCTCAAGTGCCTCCCCGCTCTCGTGCACGCGCTAGCTGCCAGAGCATGTGAGAAAACGAGAAGCATGGCTGCAAGTGGGAGTGCAACTGCCGCTGCGCCTCGGCTTGTTGACAAAAAAGACGCCAGAAGCGACATTTTGATGTATTTGAGCTATATCTCTGACAGTGAGGGCAAGCCTACGGACACCACGAGGCCTGCCTGTAAGAGATGTATTAATTGTATTTAATACGAATTCTTGTCATTTATTTTATTTATTGTTCTCATTGTTTAAAAGTTTGTGTTATGGTTATGGTTCTGGTGTGAAATAAAGCACAATAATTACATTTAAGACTGTTTCCCTTTTTTTAAGAAAAGTATCGAAAAATAATCGGAATCGCAATTCTTGACTTGGTATCGAAACCAAAATGTTGGTATCGTGACAACACTAGCTACTCCTGACAGTTAAACCTGATATTTAGTAGGTCTGTTAAGTATTGAATGCTGATCATTCTGACGTAATTTGGCCGGTCAAAGTTGTTTGGGCTCGGATAAAATTGCTCCGTTACTTTCGTTCCGTGTTACTTTCGTCCCGTGTTACTTTCGTCCGGGCTCTCCCTACGTGTGTATGTGTGGTGTCAGGTGTCAGTATGAGAGGATGACAGCGCGTCTAATTTTGATGTGGCCCAAGAGCCAATCACAATAATACCTGCGATGCAGTGAACCAATCACCTTTTGAGGGGGGGAAAACCTATCGTTGATTAAACACTACTATCCAGTGTTTCCCATACCATTGTCTTGCACCCCGCCAACGGAGCCCCGCGCCCCCCCCTGAAATTCAAGGTGTTTAAAAAATATATATAATTTTTTTTTAAATATATATATAGCACCAAATTGCAAATAATCTATAACTACTGTCACTTTTCACATTGAACATGTGCTCTTTTATTAAATAAACTAAACGCTTTCATTTGAAGTTGTGAGTTTAGTGTTTTTGACCCTAAGAAACACTGATGCAATAATCAATAACAATAATCCACAGCTCTTCTCTCTGCTCCAGAGGATTTAAAAAATATATATCCCAATGCCACAAAAATGCATCAGTGACGTGGTTGAAATCTTGTCTCCAGAAAACAAAAAACAGAAACAAGCGGTATCAGTGACTGTGTGTTTGATGTGGCTCTTTGCAGTAACATAGAAAAAATGTGGCTCTTAACCTCTGACTGGTTGGCCATCCCTGCCCTAAAGTAATAAAAAAATTGAATAGCAAATTATTATATTTAAGAAGCGGGAGCAAAGGAAAGTTTGACATTTTAATATGACTCTTTGTCAAATGAGTTATGTATTACATTAGTTATGCATTATTGTGTATTAGTATTCTATTATATTAATCATTTCAGCTGTATAGACGTTACGAGGGCCCATTACTTTGTTAAATGTTAAAATATCATTGCATACATTAAATTGTCTAATTGTTGCAAAATGTTGTTTTAAATCACATATTATTTGATCAAAAGCAAGCATTTGAATCCAGTACCTTGACATTCAGTATCTTTTATAATACTCAGAGCGACATTTATTTGATACCCAAAATAAGCTTTCTTCCATATTTTCCGCAGTGGGTTCCTGAGATTTCTCACCACTGCCCGCGCACCCCCTTCCTGTTAGTGGGCACGCAGGTGGATCTGCGGGAAGACAGCAACACCATCGAGAAGCTGGCGAAGAACAAGCAGCGCCCGCTATATCCTGAGAGCGGAGAGAAGCTGGCGCGGGAGCTGAAGGCCGTCAAATACGTGGAGTGCTCTGCTCTCACACAGGTAACACTTTCCTCACACTGTTAACGCTGAAATAGGATGTAGGATATGGACACAATGTCACATTCCGAACAGAACAAATGAACTAACTTCATCAACAGAATGTGAGGTGGAGCGTTGATGTTTTTGCAAAGAGGTTTATGTATTGTGTTGCAGAGATCTCTACTCAAATTAGCCTCAGCCTGTCCTGTCTTGCAATACTGCTTGACAACTCGAGAGGTTATACTGAGTGCATGTATGGGTCAAAGAGGACATATTATATACATTTTCAGTTTTATTAGTATGTAGTGTCTCTACTGGGACATGTCTCCATGCTTTAATGTTCAAAAAGCTCTTTATTTTTCTCATACTGCCTGTGCTGCAGCACCTCTTTTCCCCCTCCGTCTGAAACCAGAGCCTAGTCGGCTCTGATTGGTTAGCTGGCCGGCTCTGTTGTGATTGTTCTGATGAACTAAAGAGTAGATCGCGTTCACACTGGAATAAGTCCCTGAGGGAGGATTAGTCAAATGAAGCCGCTGACGTCACTTCTTCTTCTTCTGCTTTGGGTTTACTGGCAGGCCGCAAACAACTTCACGCGTATACTGCCACCCGGAGTCCCCGGCCGGAAGTCCTCGAGGTCGGGGACTGGCTTCAGTAGAAGCTGCTGGGACTCCCAGCTGCTTCTACTGAAGCCTTCCGAGTAATTCGCCAGAACGCCGACACCTCCTCATCTCCACCGCTCCCATGTTTTCTTTTGTGTTGCCATAAGTTAGTCTCTCTGCGTTTCTGCGCTGGGCTAATGCTAATAATGCTAATGCGAGGATAATAAAATGGCGGCTTCACAAAACTTTTTGGGAGTTTTACGGGGCGTGGTTTGCAATCCGCCCAGCCAATCAGACATGGGAACCTTTTTCTCCCATGAAAGTACCTGCTCTCTAGCAGGGACGGAAAAGGGGGTGAAAAGGTTCTCATGAACTAAGTTCTAGTTCCAGGTGTGAACGCAAATGTTCTGAACTATATCGGAACTATACTGGGAAAAGTACTGCGGTGTGGAAGCGCCTATGGCCTCTTTAAACTGAAAGCAACTTGATATTTGTGAAATCAGGCAATAATCCAGACCATAATAAACATTGCCTTGTCTCCTCTTCTTTCCATCCAGCGAGGGCTGAAGAATGTGTTTGACGAGGCCATCCTGGCCGCCCTGGAGCCTCCTGAGACCAAAACCAAGAGAAAGTGCGTCCTTCTATAGATGAACAACGACAGCGAGAGACGGTGTTAGAAATAAAGGTGGGGCGAATCAAATCATCAGAAAGATCAATGGCCATCTTGAGAAAAAGGACAAAACGAAAGGGGAAGGGAGGTACAATGCCATTGAGACTTACTCTCAAACACGTGTGCACTGATTGTGCCTTGAAAATAAAGGTTGAAATATGCTGAGGGAGCTTCAGCATGCAGTGAGTGTCACCTATCTCCCTTTCTGAAAGCTTTTAGCAATAGCAATACTCTCTCTACAAATACTCAGGTGGGCGGGGCCCCCCTGCCTGTCACTGTTGCTCCATTTTTTTAAAAGATTATTTTATATAATTGCTTTTGACCTCCTCTGTGTTTGACCTATTGGGGCGTTTGAACCCAGTTTAGAGAAACATAAATAGGGAAACACTTCAACATTAAGTTTTATAGTGAGCATCAGTTTTTTAAAGGGGCGACTTAGTGTTAAGTGTTACTCTATTTCCTTTTCTGCTCCTTTTGAATTACATAAGGAAAGCAGAGATGTATTGTCACTCCAAACAAAGATCGTTAACTTTCTTTAAGTTCCCAGAAACGTCTGGGGAGGCCAAATCTGCGTTTTTACCAATTTCCCTGCTTCTATTGAATTATGAATTTCTATTTTATTCTTCTTTTATGTTCATTGTATTAATTCTGTGACTGTTTTGGGAAATGTGTAGCAGTTATTCATTTTTGAAACCTTTTTTTTTGTATTGCTAGACGACCAACTTTGAGCGATTTGATAATAAAACAAATTAAATTGTAATGTTTTGAATATTTCTTAATCTTGGCAGAGATTGAGACCAAAACCTTTTGCTAGTACATTTCTGGGTGTTTGTAATCACAGGATATTTTTAATAAAATGGTTTAATGATGAAGAAAGCGCCCATTGTTTTGTGTGTTGGAGGGAGGATGGTGCATGCACAACAAATGATAACTCTAGTGAACCGCAGTAGAGGTGGTTTGTGGATATTAAATGCATTTTATTTCTTATAGCAATGCCAATCTTTGCATGGCTTGCATCAGTTCCATGTCACTGCTGGTGCATTGCAGTGTATTTTGTCCCTGCACTCACACTGGCACCTGTATCTGACAGCTTGCAAGCATTATGGTTCTCTGAAATGAATTAGAAACTACATTAAATAAGTTCTTAGAGGACACTCATACAATTGTGTCTACTGATCAATGTCTTAAAGGGGACCTATCATGCAAAATGCACTTTGTGATGTCTTTCATAAAGATGTGTCCCCGGTGCGTCGGGGAACTCACGCAGCGTCAAAAAATAAAACCCTCTCTCTTTTCCTCCGTACCCAAATCTCTAAAAACGGGGGAACAACGGAGCTGATCCAGATTTGCGTCCGATATGACGTAATATCTGAAATGTGGACCCACGGCCCAATCAGAAACGTTGCTATCAGAAACAATGCCCGACTGTTTGGGACGTAATATGGTCGGTGTTTACATTAGCATCGCTAACACTCAGAGCTAACCTGTACTGGAGAGCATGTGTGTGAAGAAGCAGGAAGTAAAAAGGAACTCACCTTGTGGTATAACCGGCAAGAGAGAAAGCCTTTGAGCTCCAGACTGTTTCAGATCCTTGATAATCCATGATATGGCCTTTCATCACGGCAGCATTTAGTTTAGACAGTAGCTGCCGGGTCCCGCATGAGCTCAGACCCCTCCTTTTTTATTTTATCAATTTTTTATTTTAAAGCTTTATACCCCAAATCAGCACTTTAGAAACAGGAAGTGAAACAGAGGGATATGAGGCATGGCTAGAATGAATATCTGTTTGGTATTTTTAGCAAAACACTTTATAGACATGTTTTTTATATATCTGAGACCTATGCTCTTGCCTAAAAATAGCATGATAGGTGACCTTTAAGTTAAAGAACAGATCTGTGAAATGTAGTTTGTCCACCAAAAATCATGCAAAAGCACCGGTCTAAATATTGTGTTTACCAAACACCAACAACATTAGTTTATACGTTTCGTGGGAATAAGCCAATCGGCAAGAAAAAACAACTGCCATTTGACTAATTGGCTAAAGAAATGGAGCTCGGAAAACAAAGACACAGCCCATGAACGCCTCTAAACTACAACTGTGCAATTTTGCTCTCATGCAGCATGGAGGGAACACGGCGATTTTAGCCTTTGCAGACCATTTACATGCATAAAAACTTTTGTAACACACTACAGGAAAGGGAAAACCCAAAAAAGCATGTTTCAAGTGTAACAACATCTTAAGGAACTTCTGGTGAATAAGAAACTCAGGAAACGTATTGTGTTTTTTGGGATAAAACTACTGTATTTATTAGGTATTCTTGAACAGCCCTAAAAGCACTGCGTGTGCAGGAACATGAAGGAGAGCGCAACACAAGACAGACTCTGATGTAAGTAGACGTTATTTTCTTTTGCTATAGATGCCGCTGAATTAAAGCAAAGACTCTGATATACAAATAAATAAACCAGAAGAGAGGAGAAGACGTAAATAAAGACCTGCTAGTCTATGTCACGATAAGAACAGTGCTGCAATGATTCCCTGTTAGTCATGGTTAAGTTCAGCTTTAAAAGCGTTGTCAGTTTTGTTGAGAGGATAACAGTTGAGTGTGTCTGTTTCTGCACACCTGTGTTATTTACTTTTGATGCTTTTGATACATGTACTAACTTTGCAGCTTTTACAACACAATCCTCAAACTTAGCCTCACAGCTTCAGTCGAAAATGAGTTCAATTAAGATCAGAGTGTAAGGATAATTTGGTGTTAGGTGTGCTGTTGTCTATCTTGTCCTCATCCCGTCTTGTGTTCAGATTGGTCTGTCGGGTGGTTTGTTCGGGTCTTTTCTGCTTGGTGTGTTTCGGGATCTTTTAGACTCTGCAGGTGTGGATGGTGACGGTGTTCTTGCACTGCTGGCAGCGGACGGAGCAGCACCAGGAGAACTTGCAGGAGCAGCGCTGCACCACCTCCGCCCGGCCTGCCCTGTACCCCGGCCCGCAGCACACCAGCTCACAGCCGTCAGGGGCCAGGCGGGAGGTTCCTGTGTTTCAATAGGTAAGGTACGTTTATTTATAAAGCACATTTTCAGACACAGAGGCAAATCAAAGTGCTTTACATAATCATTAAAGGTCACCTATTATGCAAAATACACTTTTTCATGTCTTTTCTACATCTACATCAGCAACCAAGGTACCCCCCCCCCCCCCACACACCTTATCACCAATATAAAGGGAGGTCAGGTACTCTTTAAAACAGCTGCTAGTTATGGGTACTCTTTACTGAAGTACATTTCAAAGCCTCTTTACTTTTACTTGAGTAAAGAAGTTTAGTCTGTACTTCTACTTTCACCAGAGTATTTTTAAACACGAGTATCTGTACTTCTACTTGAGTAAAGGATGTGTGTACTTTTGCCATCTCTGGTTGTTTCCCCTTCACGTTGATCTTACCGTTACACCTCCTGCCAGCAGTGCCGGGGATACCGTTGTCGGGGTCGAGGTGGCAGAAATCAGGAGAGGGGGTGAGGTACAGGAGGTCTCTGGCAGCGGGGGGTTTGACCTGCGGGTCGCGGGGGAGCAGGGCCGTTCTGGATCCTATACGAGTCAGGCGGACCTAAAGAGAAGAGGGTGAGGATGGCAAGATTAGACAACTACAGCCATGGCTTCAAATACCACTTCCATTTACTGCCTTTAGGGAAAAGGTATAGCGTCCCCTGTGCAAAGAAAGCTTGCATTAGACATTTATTGGGACTGTTGCCATAAGATATCTTCATCCATAAAAAAAAGCTAGATTGCTACCTCAGCAGACAGCATTTTATATCTATTTACATTGGGCTCCTATGGGGTATTGTGTTCTATTGTTTATGGTTTTAATGTATCCTCTTTAATATGCCAAGTCTCTACCTTTCGCACGCAAAAAGTATTTTATTTTGTTCTATTCTTGTGGAGAGTTACAGACAGAGAACTTTGATACTGATAAAGCTCATGTGACTTATACATGTGGTTACCAGCTTAAAACATGTAGTCTGATACCTCTGTGGCTCCATCAAAGCGTTCCTTGAGCACCACACCGACGCGCCTGAAAGGAGGCATCACCTTCCAGCAGGTCCTCAACTCACAGGAGCCGGAGACGCCATGACACTTACACTCCACCTGCATGTTGTGAAGGATGGCCTGAGGACGAGAGGATGGGGAATAAAAGCAGAGAAGATCAAGTCTCACGGATGAAATCGTCTCGGAAAGTCACTGAGATGTAGTCAAAGAGATGTGAGCACTAACCTTTCTGCCTGCCTCGTTGTTGTGGAGGTTCATGAGTGGTCGCCCCGCTGACACCCCTTTGGCTCGTTCTGGTTCATCCACAAATGTTTGGGAGAAAGCCACACCGTAGGACAGGTTGTCACTGCAGCCCGACCACTGGAAGCCTGAGGTGGGACAGAGTATTTGGATATGTGCACCCTTAAAGCTAGGGATTAACACATCCAACTTTTTTCAACCTTATACCTGGGTTTTTGTTATTGGCCCAAATTAGGTACTGATCCCATGCCAATGTTTAAATAATAAGCCATATGCCTGGTTAAAAGTGAATTGGATCTTTTCCCAAGGCAACATTAGACTTGACTTAAAAATTGCTTTCCTAACTTCACAATAAATGTAACAAATTAAGAAAATATAAACCCGCTAATTACTATAAAAAATGTCTAAATTAACATAAATAAAATTTAAAAAAAGGTCAAAACTGGTTATAAAATTGCAGTATAATGTGCATTTAACATATATAAACATAGATTTTATTAGCTGATCAAGCTATTTCAGTCAGTATCGCTCCAAAATCAGTATCAATATCATTGTATTCCTTCATGAAACAACCGCACATTTGAATTTAAAGCTAAAAAATAAACACTGGATCACACAGAAGCAGCTGATAGGAAAATATCTGCTCTCTCTGTCCGGCATGTGGACATTAGCACTTTCCAAAGTTTAACCCATCGAAATCAGCACCATTCTTTTTTCTACATGTGTCAGACAGTACGGAGTTACATTACATGTTACTTGTTAGACGCTTTTATCCAAAGCGACTCAATACTGTGGGCAATCCCCACAGGAGCAATTTGGGGTGAAGTGTCTTGCCCAGGGACACAACGACATGCTGACTGCAGTGGGGTTTGAACCCTGATCCAAACACCAACGCACTAGTCCACTGCGCCACAGCCTCCCACATTATGTCACATTATCATGCAAAGGGGTCCAGCTCACCTTCGGGGCTGACCCCCCTGACCTTCCTGTCGCAGCCGCAGCGGTCCAGCTCCCCCCGGGTACAGGCTCTCGTCACCGCAACCGCCACGGCTGCAGAGGACAGGGCGTGGACAAAGGCCGCCTCACGAGTCCCTGCAACCAGAAGAAAGCATGTGATCAAATCAAATCAAATGCTGTATTGTGATTTTAAAGGTCCCCTATTATACTGTTTTTCATCAATACATTATAGTTCTCAGATATATATACAGAACATGTCTCTGAAGTGTTTGGCTCCAAACACCAAACAGATCATTGCAGCATTACCCATAATCCCCTCTGTTTCAAAAGTGTGCATCTGGACCCGGTGACGACATTACCTATTGACGCAGCAACCACTGTAAGTTATATTCTTGTTTAATTAGACTTCTCTGTTTCATTTATTCGACTCTGTATAAATTGTTATTGTAGCTTAAACGGCTAAATCGCGTTTGAGAGATTTAAAATCTCAGATCTGCTCAGGCGAAACCTGCTTTACAGGTCTCAGCACTCAAGCCTGCATTAATATAGGCACGGCCAGTCTATTGATAGCGTGAAGTACAACCGCGTGACTCAGTCATTTTGTACCTTAAAAAGCATTTAAATACCGCATTTAAAATCT